AGAAAAGTGAAGGCACCTGAGCACATAAAACTGCAGTCCAAGTTTATATTCAGAGAGTTCATCTAAAACGGAGCGGCCACTGCAGCCTCGACCTGCTGGGCTCTGGCGATCCTTCCCCCTCAGCCTTCCAAGTAGCTGGAACTACAGGCGCGCACTACCACACCTGGCTAATTTTTTGATTTATTGTAGAGATGAGGTCTCGCCAAGTTGTCCAGGTGGGTCACAAATAATTTTTATTTTATTGTAGAGACGAGGTCCTGCCAACTTGCCTGGGCTGGTCTCGAACCTGCGGGCTTAGGCGATCTGTTCACCTGCGCCTCCTGAAGTGCTGGGATCACAGGCTGAGCCACTGGGCCTGCCTGGGAAAATGTGCCCTTAACCACCCCCACATGGTCTGGAGGCCTGGAATGGTACAAAAGCCTTTAGAGTGTCCAGTACTTCTCGTGCTAGGCCTTCTCACTCTTAACTTCCATCTCCCAGGCTTGTTGCCTAACCTTGACCCTTGATTGGATACATTCCTGCTGGTGACGGTTCTCCCTTTCCAAGCATGCCTTTCCTTCCTGCCAGTTTCGGCCTGTAGATATGAAGAGTATGTGTATTTCGTCCCCTCCTGGCAGCTGCGGGAAATTTAGGCATCCAATGAGAATGCAGGGCAAGACGGGGCCTGCGCGACAGGCCCTGAGCATCAGCACTTTGTCTTCCCTGCTGCTCCCACTCGTTTGCTGTCACCCTGTCATCAACTAGGCACCTGCTGAGGGAGGGGACTCAGGGAAGGGGTAGCCAGCTGAATGCCGACAGCTGTAGGAAGGGGCGATTCTCCTAGGTGAAGGGTGAAGAAGCGATTATTCGTGACTCAGAATTTTCCACAGATGGCGTGCTTGGCATTTCTAGTCACCCCCGTTGAAGTAAATATTTGGAAGAAAACTTGCCATGTTGTTTTTCAGGCTCTGTTAATATTTTTAAAAATTAGTAGCAAGGGTAGGCTTTTAGGACATTCAAGCATAATCGGAAAAACAAAACCTGGAGATTTTAGACAGGCTGCGTTTTCAAAAGACGGCGTGCTCTGTCCGTCGAGGATGCAGATTGCTGCCTTTTCTTGCTTTTTCTCCTGCTCCCTGATCACCTGTGGGATCTACCAAGCATGAGACTTTTCTTGCTCATGTTTTCACCGAGAGGAGGCACGGGCGTGAATTAAGCCGTGCGAATCCCACAGCTGATGGAAAATTAAAGGTTTTTCGACTCACATGCACTGCTTGTGAATTCACATGACAAACAGCCATTAAATAATGATCATGGGGTTAGTTATCCACAGCGGAACAATTTGGCTTCTGGGTAAATTTCTTGATTTATTGCCATTCATGGAGATATTGCTATAGGCAGAGCTGTCTGTTTCTGGAACTGTCTTCCTCTCTGTTTTCTGATGAGTCCTTATTTCTGCTCAGAACTTAGAAAAGTGTGTGTGTGTGTGTGTGTGTGTGTGTGTTTCTTCTACAGTCTTGATATTTAATTGCTGACCATGTATGTATTTAATTTTATTCGGGCTTCTTTACCTCTTTGATCCTATAGAAAACAAGGAGAAGGTTGGTGACTGCTGACGAACTTGTGCTAAGCAACTTCTTAACAATTAAAAAAAAAATCAATAAGGACTCCATTGATCAAGTTTTGAGTGATATAAAGAAAGAAATTTTGGCCATGCAGTTCCTGCATGTCAGGCACTGTGCTAAGCATTTTATGTGCGGGATCTAATTTCATCTTCATGATGGCTTTTAAGGGTCAGTAGTCTTTTAAAGATTAGGAAATTGATGCTTAATGAGAAAGTTTTAAATACATCACCTGAGATCACATGGCTAGAACCTGGGATGGGGGTGGGGGGAAAATGAAACCTATCTGTTTGGCTTCAAAGCCCAGTGAAAAATCTGCCTTTTCTTGGATTGGAATAAGCCTCTCAGACAATCAAGATGTGTTTTGGTGGACGCTTAATACTTAGGTAAATTTACTGTTATTAAAGGATTAAAGAAAGAGCCTCTTTCCCCCTCCACATTCCAAGTGAAAAGACAGAAGCTGGAAGTAGATGATTGCTGTGGTTCATTGTGATCAGGATAGGTGTAATCCTTGGACCACACATTTCTTCAGTTACCTACATGTAAGGTTATTTACAAGTAACACACTGCTTCCCGTCTTCCCCTAAATTCCGATTAATTATGTCCCATTCAGCCGGGCGTGGTGACTCAAGCCTGTAATCCCAGTACTTTGGGAGGCTGAGGCGAGAGGATTGTCTGAGCCCAGGGATTCGAGACCAGTGTGGGCAACTTGGTGAGACCTTGTCTCTATAATATATCAAAAATTAGCCGGGCGTGGTGACACGCGTCTGTAGTTCCAGTTACTTTGAAGGCTGAGATGGAAGGATCACCTGAGCCCAGCAGCTCGATGCTGAGGTGGCCGTGAGCAAGCCACTGCACTCCATCTGGATGACAGAGTGACACTCTGACTCAAAAAAAAAAAAAAAGATGTCCCATTCAAATCCAGAGAACCTCTACAAGCTATTGTAGCATTTCAGGACAACCCAAAATTCTAATTGCTACCCTGGCTCCCACCCCACTTCCTGATCCCTTGGTAATTTGTAAAACGACAGATCTTTTACTTTTAACCATTTTAAGAGCCGTGTCTGGTACCTGAGGCCAGGACTACTTCGGCTATCTGGGCTGTTGGGTTGCTGTGTACTCTGCTGCCTTGTCCCCCTAGCTTCTCAAATACTCCTCAGGCTTCAGTCTCTCTCCCTCAGAACATACTTCTGTGATGAGCTTGATCTTGTTTCTCCTCACTTCTTTGACCTCTTTTAGCTGTATTTCCTAATTAGCACCTTGGTATGCACTACCCTGCTTTTTAAGCATGTGTGTGTATGTTCCTATTGGTCTGCCTGTGTATGCATGCATCTTCTATCCCCAGCAATATTATAAGCCTCTATGAAGAAGAACTGTCTCATACGTGTTGTTTCTCATTGATACTACATGGTAGACATTTTCCCAGGCACCTAGCAGGCATTCAGGAACTATTTGATCTTTGAACTACAGAAACCGGATCATTCGGCATGTCATCTGACTGCTTTTTCTCAAGCTGAAATGAAGTATAGGAACAATTAGATGTAAATTTTGTGGAGAATTAAAAGTTTTGGAATAGGAATTACATTCCCATAGTTCAAAATGAAAGAATATAAAAAGTATACAGCAGAAAGTTACCCTCCATTCTCTGTTTCTTCCCTCCCATTCCCTGCCTCTCTACAAAAAGTACCCACTTTATTTGTTTTATGTGTGTCTTTCTAGAGTATTTTTTGTTTTAAACAAATAATTTTAATGCATTTTCAATAAATAACAACGAAAATACTTATTTTCCTCATGTTGGAAAATACTGTATTTTGCATATTATAGAACAATTCTGGTCCTTGCTTTTTGCTCTTAATTGTGCAGCGGAGAGGGTTTTCCAGATCAGTCCATTGAGGCCATTCTCATTATTGTCTTGCAGCTCGGTAGAATTCCGTTATGTAGGTGTGCCATCATTTATTTGGCCTGTCCCACACCGATGGACATTTGGGTTGCTTCCGGCCCTTTGCCATTAAACACACTGCTATGGTGACTAATGGGGACATATGGCGTTTTACCTGGATGCAGGTTTATCTGGAGTTTACGTTCCCAGACAGGGGTTGGCTGGAGCCCAGGGAAGTGCATTTGTGACCGTGACAGGTCTGCCAGATCTCCCCCGTCAGGGGTTTGGCTACCCTTTACTTCCACAAACCCGTTTCTCTGTGGCCCTGCTGACAGATTGTGTGCTCAGACTTTTGGATTGTGGCCAATTGGATGGGTGAAAGATGGAATCGAAAGGAGTTTGAATTTGCATTGATCTTATGAATGCAGCTGAACATGTTTTCAGGCAGTTTAAGAGCCGTTTCTTTTCCTTTTCTGTGAACTGGCTTCATATCTTGGCCCATTTAAGAAACTATTGGCTGCTCTGTGTTTTTCTTCGTTTATTGTTCTGTGGGGGTGGGGTTTTTTGTTTGTTTCCCTTGCTGAAGTTTTCTGGTTTTAGATGATTGAATGTATTGAGCTTTTCTTTTACGGCTTTTGGATTTCAAAGTGTTAGGTCTTTGCTGCCCTGTGGCTACACGTTTTCTTCTAGTGCCGTTGGTTCGTTTTTCTTAAATCTTTGATCCGTGTGGGGTCTGTGATCTGAGGGATAAATTCAACTTTGTTTTTCACACACCACCTAGGTATCCCAATGCCGTGTATTGAAAAATTCCTCCCCACTAAGTTGAGATGCCATTCTTAACATAAAGGAGAGTATTTGGATTGCATATGACTAGGATGAGATACATACACTGGACGAACCCATGGGGATTAAGTGGTCAATAGCTTAGTTGGTCCATACAACAAACATTTCTCAAGCACTTAGTAAGTGACACAAGTGTGATATGGCAGGCCTTGGGTATATGAAAATGAGAGTGAAGCGTCTCTTAAGAAAGTAGCTGCACAATGAATGTAATCTCAATGCAGGGGAATAAGAGCAGCAGAGTGGGCTGAGAAAGCCGGGGAGATGCTTTACAGAGCAGAGGGCCTGAGGCAGTCTTGAAAACGCAACAGCAGTCGGCTGGCCAGGCGGGGAAGGACTTTCTAGAAAAGAAGAGATAAGTGCAGAGGCCGAGATCCATGAGAGTGTGTGGGCTTTGGGGTGGGGAGGCGACAGAGGGCAGAGGGGTGGATTTGGAATAGCAGTTCGTGGCCAGAGTGTAGGGCAGGAGCAACAGCAGGAGACGAGACCAGAAAGACTGCTCGTGGACATTGTCTTTCATGAGTACATGTGGGATCTGGGTGTGCAGTGTTTTCATACCTCCCCATACTCACTCAGTAGATGAAGGGGAAAGATTAAGACGTCCAGAGTAGATGGAAGCCCATGCTGAGCTGTGTTCTGCAGGCCGGTTGTTGAGTGTTGACACCTGTTGCTTATTCTAGAGCACTCCAAGCTCCCGAAGCCGAAGTCTCACTTTGCTCCCCCACGGAACACCCAATTCTGCGTCTCCCTGTAGCCAGAGACACCTCAGTGTGGGGGCCCCCGGTGTTGTCACAATCACGCATCACAAGTCGCCTGCCGCCGCCCGAAGAGCCAAGAGTCAGTATTCCGGCCATCTTCACGAAGTCAGAGAGGTAGGCTTTGCTCTCCTACGAGGGTATGCGGCGCCCCTGGGAGTTGGGGGCTGTGACCGTTGCCCTGCCGACCCCCTCTTCCTTTGTGCCATCTTGATTCATGGAGAGGACCAGCAGCGAAATTGCCAGCCACCCAGCTGTGACAGTCGCTCCTGGTTTAAAAAAATGATTGTTTCTGTTTCTTAGGGGGGTGGCAAGGCTTTAGGAGGCCTCTGTCAGAACTCAGAAAGCAGAGAAAGCCAGCCTGCAAAGACATGGATGCCAGTGGAAGGCCAGTCAATGACGTCTCCGTGCGCGTAGCAAAGACCAAACCAAAGTGCATGGATAATCAGGATATAATTTGGGTGTTTTGAGACTCTGGATGTTGGTTCCCCCTCTTTCCCTTTATTTTCCTCTTCCTCACCATCACAGATACACTCTAAGGGGCTTGTTAGGTGGCAAAAAGAACACTGTCTTTTTAAAAAATTTTATTTTAGATCCAAGGAGTACACATGTGTATTCATTACATGGGCATATTGTAGAATGGTGGGAGTTGGTTCTCAGGTGGCCCATTCCCCAGATGGTGAATGCAGTACACCCCCCCACTGTGGGTAGTTTCTGAACCCTAGCCCCCTCCCACCTCCCAAGAACACTGCCCTTGAAGTCAGAAGACTCTGTTGTTTAAGAGCAAGTCTTCTAACAGCTCTGAACCTCAGTTTCTACATTTATAAAAAGAACTAAATCAGGCTTTGCCAGCCTTTCCGGGGGAATGTGATGGTGACAATGCCCAGGAAGACTTTTTAGCTTACAAGCCAAGCCGTGCCTTGTAAAAGTGACGTGAGGTTATGGTTTTTGTTTGTTTGTTTTTTTTGTTTGATGCTCTGGGAAGTCATCATTTGGGGTCCTAGAGCGTAGGACTCATGTCATCCTTTGCAATTGTTATGGAGAACAGACTGCAAGAAATGGCGATGGTCTTGGTGGCCTGGCTTCTGCTGAGGTTTGAGGTTTCTGGCCCTGCCCCTCTGTAGTGTACAGACCAACCCGTTGTTGTCCTCTTAGGGAAGGTAGCAGAGCCCTTTCTCTTCGTCATACAGAAGAATGGGACTCTTAGACTGGGTTCTTGCTGCTACCAGAGTCAGCTTGCATCTTATTTTAGTTTTTTTGCTTTTTGAGTCGGAGTCTCACTCGGTCGCCCAGACGGGAGTGCAGTGGCCGCTCGGCCACCACAGCCTCGACCTGCCGGGCTCCGGCGATCCTTCCACCTCAGCCTTCCGAGTAGCCGGAATTACAGGCACGCGCTACCACGCCCGGCTGATTTTTTGATTTATTGTAGAGATGAGGTCTCGCGGCCCAGGCGGGTCTCGAACCCGCAGGCTCAGGCAATCTACTCACCTCAGCCTCCCAAAGGCGCGTGATTACAGGCTGAGCCACCGAGCCCGGCTTTGTTTTAGTTTTTAAATGTCACGAGCCAGGCAGCATTCTGCTGACTGACTGTCTTGGTTCCGATTCCAGCCGAGGGCAGAAGATCTAAAATCTTTGCAATCAAATCTGTAGATGCATATGAAAGGTAGCTTTTACATATATATGCTCTATGTTGCCTAATGAAGAAAAAGTACAAAGTCAGAATTGGATTTTAATTTTCAGGTAGAACTCTCATTTTGAAATAGTCATTCTGGACTGGGCGCAGTGGCTCACTCCTATAATCCCAGCCCTTTGGGAGGCTGAGGTGGGAGAACTGCCTGAGCCCAAGATTTTCAAGACCAACCTGGACAACGTAGTGAAACCTTGTCTCTGTAAAAGAAAATATAAAAATTAGCCAGGCGTGGTGGTGTGTACCTGTAGACCCAGCTATTTGGGAGGCTAAGGTGGAAGGATCACCTGAGTCCAGGAGGTCAAGGCTGTGGTGAGCTGTGATCATGCCATTGTACTCCAGCCTGGGCAACAGAGTGAGAACCCTGTCTCAAAATAAATAAATAATAAAAAAAATAAGAAAATAAAAAAAAAGAAAGAAGAGGAGAAGGAAATGGCTACTCTGTTTAAAAAAAAGGCTTAATTTTCTTGCATTAGTTGATGTGATGAATGATTTTGCATTGTGTATATTGCTTTTCATTTTTCACAGCACTCTTCCAAGACACTGTGTCATGGAAAATTTTCAAATTCGCATAAAATAGAACAGTCTAATGTAGCTGTGTACCCATCACCCAACTTGAGCAATTTTAATTTCTGTTCTTGTTTTATGTTTTTATTTCCTCCTTCTACTTTATTTTTCTTGCCAGAGTATTTTAAAGAATTGTTAAGTGCTGTTATTATTCTATCATTGCCAGGGAGTGCATCTGTATTTAACAGGAAATTTGTCTAAAACTTAACTATGGTATTGTCATTTTGCTTTGGTGTAGACCTCATTGCAGATTATTTTTTGAGTCCTTTGAGACTCTAACCTTTAAAAAGGCAGTTAGAGATTTGTGGTATTTTGAGAATTCTCTTTATTCTATTATAATGAATTCCTGTTGGACTTACTGTTATAAGTTATGATAGAAAACCTGTTTTATGAAAAACAACAGCAACAACTTGTGTTTAGTGAGTGGGGACCAAAATAAAAGTTGAGGTACCTTAGCCTGATTTTTAGTAATATTTGATTTAATATAATGCCCAAATCTTTTCTACGTCCATTTAGAAAAAAGTCAAGTTTTTGAAAGACTAAATGTATTTCCTTGTGTCCATATGCATAAAGATATTTATGTAAAGTATATACTACAAGCATATATTGCAAGATGTATAAAGAAGAAAACCAAAATTACCCATAATCCTAGCTCCCCACAGTTGACCATTGTTAGCCTTTTGGTGAATTTACTTCTGGATTTTTCCCCCCATATGTTACAGGTATAGATATGTAAAAATTACCAATAGCATATGATTTAAATTTAGTAAATAATTACATATATATGTGTATATATATATGTATATATGTATATATATGTGTGTGTATGTGTATATATATATATGTTGCTTTTTTCTTTACCATATTCTTTTCTTTTTTTCTATCTCTGGGGAAAAATTGTTGAGATTTCCTGTGGCGTTTCATGCTATGAAACATAATGAGATGAAATGTTTCCATAACTGTTTTGAGCTGGTTTTTGTACTCCTGGGTAACAGTGTTTGTCTTCAGGTGACTGCTTTTGTATACCGAAGACCTTTCTTGCTGAAAATTAATTTTAAGTAAGGGTATTGAGATTTAAGTGCAGGCATTGGCAGTTTAGAGGATTTTGGGGTGCTGAGCTCCTCGAAGAAGAGTTTAAAAGTTTCAGTTCTTGGATATTTCGTCTACCTCCACTCCTAACAGGAAAAGGACCGCTGGTTTGGTGGCATCTGGCATTTTATGTTGTGAGCCGGTCCAACTTAGGAACTATCTGAGCAGATTTCACTCATGCTAGAAAGCTCTGCAGTTATTAATTTCGGAGCATAAAGGCCTCTGCTTTAAGGTACCACTGCATTTATCTATAAAATGAGTAGAAGAAAATGGAATCGCATTTTTAACCCAGCTGGACAGAGAAGATAAACTTGCAACCACTGAAGCAATGGAGGAAATCGTCACACCCAAGACAGATGTGCCTGGATATCGGGGCAATAAAAGAAAACTAGCCCAGCCAAAGGCAATGTAATACATATTAAATGGAATGCCGCAGCGTGGCTGAAAATCGTGGAGAAATTTAAAAGAATAAATGGTTATCATCCAAAATTTAAAGAATTGAGATACCAAAGGTCAGAGTCCAGAGTCCTCTCAGGAAGTGACTGAGAGTGATGAGTCTGGGGATTTTGAGACAAAACACCAAGAGACAGGAGTGTCCTCACTAGCAATTCAAGAAATGAAAATGAAGACAGCTCTGTCTGTGGAATTATCAGAATAAATTGCAGCCCATTATGGATTGCGGTGTGAAGAATGTTGGCAGTGCTATAGATTGTCTCTTTACTACAATCTGGTGCTGTATAATAAGAACTAAACATAAAATATTCTGTGCGTTGCCATCGACCCATAAATTCTCTATTGGGAACTATTTCCCGAGGAAACAATTTATGGAATTGGGGGCGGGAGGAAGAAATTAATTTGGGTAAAATTCTTCATACTAGGCAAGTTGTAGTCCCAATACAAAACATGATGGGAATGGCTAAACAGTAATACATTTAAGATACTGAATTACTATATAGCTATTTTTAAGATAAAAGGTCACTATTATAACCACATGGACACGTATGTGTAAATAAGAAAACAGACAGGGGAAACCCCTTTGGGTTCCCTCCCACTGTGGGAACTTTCCTGTCCTCTTAATAAATCCTGCTTTCTCAAAAAAAAAAAGAAAGAAAACACATAGATAGATAAACTTATAAGACACACATTGAACCCTATGTCCATCTTATTAAACTCTAGAGGTCGTTTAAAACAGTGGTTCCCAGAGTTTTGGATTTTGCTTGCAAACTGATGTTTAGAAATACAGTAGAATTTGGGGAGCAACAAAGTGCTGCAAACTTTTTATTTTCCCCAGCAAGGACATTTTAAAAAACATAGTGACGATCTAGGGTTACCACTGTCTCATAGAAACACCTTGGAACCCCCCCTCGCCAAAGGAATATCATCTCAGAATAAAGCATCATTCATTGCGTTGATTAAGAAGTTTTTTTTTTGAGTTGAAGTCTCACTCTGTCACCCAGTCCGCAGTGCAGTGGTCGCTCCCGGCCACCACAGCCTCGACCTGCTGGGCTCTGGCGATCCTTCCACCTCAGCCTTCCAAGTAGTCGGAACTACAGGCGCACACTACCACACCCGGCTCATTTTTTGATTTATTGTAGAGATGAGGTCTCGCCAAGTTGCCCAGGCGGGTTGCGAACCCGCGGGCTCAGGCAATCCACTCGCTTCAGCCTCCTAAAGTGCAGGATTACAGGCTGAGCCGCCAAACCCAGATGATTAAATTTTATGGCAAACACTGCATTTTCTATGTGTGTATTTCTTTTTTTTTTTTTAAATATGT